CTTGCTTTTCCTGGCTGGAAGCTTTTAAGATTCTCTCTGACCTTGGAGTTCAGAAATCTTAGCAGATGACTGTGTGTTTAGCCTCACCCAGCCACAAACGCCTTTCCTTCTGCACACTCAGGCCTTTCTTTGGGACACCGTCTTGTATTTCCCTTGATTTGGTGTGTCTCTGGACCTCAGATTCCTCTAGTTGATTGTGGCTCCTGGCTCCTCACCTTTTCCCTTGTGGTGTGTCCCTGCCATGTTGCTCTAATGCGGTTGTGTCCAATCTTTTAACGTGGTGACGTTTTTACATACAGACATGCTGGGTCGTGTTGATAGCTTTCCTGGGGCAGGCTCAGGCGGCAGGTTAGAGGCTCCTCTGTGGCAGGAGATAAATCCTTCCTCTCCTCTTTCCCTCAGCAGTGACCCTGGCCTTCAGGTCACACTTTTCAGCTTTGATGCTGTTCACCCTTCCTGCAAGGCCATTGGTTGCTCTGCTCTGTGTCATTAGGAGCTGCTCTCCTGTTTGTGTGTGTTCATACACTGTTGCTGGGCCCTCTTTGTTGTCATTTCTACTCCGGGGCAGGTTCTCACTGCGGAGCCCAGGTTGGCCAGGAACTCCTAGTTTCTCAGCTTCCCGAGTGATGGGATTATAGGCGTGAGCCACTGCACCCCATTGGACGACGGTGTTACCTTTTCTGTTTTGGCCCACAAGGCCCTGATCTTCCCTCCCTAGAGCAAGGGTGACTTTTGGGGTAAAAAAAGGGACAGTGACTTTGGCTCCCAAGGGTTGATGGTGTGACAGCCAGCCCTTCTCCGGCCCACTTTTGCTCACCTGGCTTATCTCTACATCATAGCCTAAGCTTCTAGGGGACCAGAGGGAAGTTTGGGGTCAAGCTTATTCCAGATTGCTTCAGCCCTCTGTGTAGACGTGGTTGCCAGGCCACCAAGAGGCATAAAAGCAAAATGAACAATCAAACCTAGGAACAAGCAGAGACGTGCTGACATTGTTTTTGACAGTGAAGATCAGCTCATCAACAGAGATCTCCAGATATGCCTTTGGGCTCAGAAGCTATCCTGGGAGCACATAGCACAGGCCTTCTCTCCTGTGTTCCAAGCATCTCTGCTACTTGCCTGACCCAGCAAGTTCGCTTCTGCCCCAGGGCCTTTACACCCACTGCTCCTGCAGTCTGAAGCCTGTCTTCCTCAGGTCTCCTCCTGCCTCCCTCCCTCTCTCACCCTTCTCTCTTAGGTGTCTTAGATGTTGCTCTTTACTCACTAACCAGCCTCTTTTTCTCCCTGACCCTGCGTATTCATTGTAGCCTATTCCACTGTGTTACACAGTGTCTTATGCTTTTGTCAAACCCCATGAGCACAGCCATTTTCTGTTTGTATTTTTATTGTTGTTGTTGTTGTTGTTGAGACAGGGTCTCCCTTTGTAGCTCTGGGTGGCCTGAAACTCACTCTATCGACCAGGCTGGCCTCAAACTCACAGAGATCCACCTGCCTCTGTCTCCTGAGTGCTGGGATTAAAGGCATGCATACCACACCTGGTTCGTTTTGTTTTGTTTTGTTTTGTTTTGTTTTGTTTTGGACAGGGTTTCTCTGTGTAGGCTTGGCTGTCCTGGACGTGATTTGTAGACCAGACTGGCCTCGAACTCTGCCTACCTGAGTGCTGGGATTAAAGATGTGTGCTACCATGCCCAGCTCACATATGGTTCTTATGTGTGTTTATTTCCCCAAGCAGTGAAAAATAAATCTTTGCACACAGTAGGTTTTTACTGAATATTTTTAGGATGAATTAATGAGTGGATGATGAGATGGGATGGAAATCCTTAGGGATATTGAAAGGACTTGACCATTGAAGATGGCCTAAGGAAGGACAGAAGAGGCCCAAAGGCCCCTGCCCACAGCACAGTGTGACCTCAGCATGGAAGTCACATTAGTAGCCAAGGAATGGAAGTCAATCAAGGTGGCGGAACAGGAACAGAGGTGGCATCTGTTGCCGAAGCTGCCCTGCAGTTGGGGCCTGTACCCGTCAGCAGAACAAGTTCCACCCCCATCACAGAGGGTTTCTGAGAAGACCGTTGTGTTTACTGCATCGTGTTTACAACCTGCAGGAAAACGAAGCTTTAAACTGTGGGTCCTGAGCAAGAGAAGTGGCCCCATGGCTAAGAGCATTTGCTCTTCTTGCAGAGGACTTGGGTTGGGGTCCCGGCACCCATATGGCCACGCACGTCTATCTGTCACTCCTTCCAGGGGCCTGACACCCTTTTCTGACCTCTGCAGGCACCGGGCACACACATGGCACACAAATATGTGGAAAGAAACACGTTTTTAAAATTTTAATCATTTAATTTTTAACTAAATCTTAGAGAGAGAGAGAAAGAGAGAAAGGAAGGAAAGAAAAGAGAGAGAGAGAGAAAGAAAGAAGGAAAGAAAGAAAGAAAGAAAGAAAGAAAGAAAGAAAGAAAGAAAGAAAGAAGGAAAAGACTGTAGGTCCTTTGTGGTTCTCAGGCTCCCTGGGTCTCACCCTTCTTCCTAGCTCACAGCTTTCTAGAAGATTCATCTCCCAGAGGAAGGGCTTCAGTACTAGCTAAGAGGTGGGGAGCAAGGGCCCATGGGGGTGCTTGCTGATCTTTTTCTCTGCTTATGTCACTTAGTTCTGAGTTTATCTAAGGTTCTCTGTCCCCACTCCCTCAGAGCCTATAATGGGGCAATAAATAGATGGAAAGAAATAAAGAGTGCTTTTCTCCAAAAGGAGGCAGGCTGAAGGGGTCTGCTGGGTGTCTGTTGTGTGGGTTGCCGTCAGCCCTGGCCCCGGGGCTCTTTCAGCCCAGGAAGAAGTGAAAAGCGGTTATTTACAGCAGCCGCCGGGTGCCAGGGCTTCTCGCTACCTGCCAGGGCTCTGGGCCACTCCACCCGGTGAAGGACAGAAAGCCACAGCTTTGTCCTCCTGATGCGAAGCGTCCCTCTCTGTCCTTCTCGGGGCTGGGGACGAGGAACAAGACTTCACACTACCTCAGCTTCCAGAACAGTGTTTCATCTTTCCCTAGCTGTGGAGATTGAATGGTAGAGCCACAGGGTCAGTGCAAACTGAAATGACAAAGTATTTTGGGTGGAATTGGGTCTATTCCTGGCCAGTCTAAAGAAATGCTGTAAAGGAAAAGATATCAAAAATGGCATGTGAGATCCCCAGCAGGTCAGAGCCCTGTGGGAACTCTGACACCTGCCTGAGGCTGGCCCAGCATTTCCCCCCTTTCCTGCTGAGGACCTGCTTTCTCAGCTGCTGGGCAGACTTGGACCGTACGCCTAGATTCTTATCCCAGCATCCTCTGTGACTTTTGCTCTCCCTGACCTCACATCTGTGTGCCTGAGAATCTCAGGACATCCCCACATGGGTGTTTTGTGGCAAAAAGTCCTTGATTACCTTTAAAGTTGGTCTCTGTCACAGATCACGGGGACTGTCGCAGCAGAAGTATGCCGGGGCCTTAAGACAGAAGGACAGAAAATGATTCCACATGGCTCTGCAGGGTGGGATCAGGGGCCAGTTAAGTTGGGTTATGGGGAATCCTCTTCTGTGTAGAGTCAAAAAGAGCTCTCGTCTTTCTTACGTCTCTTGATAAGGACACTGTTCGAAAGCCTCACTTCTTATGCTGTGACCTTGAGGGTGGTTAGAGTTTTGACTTAGGAACTGGGGTGTAAGCTTTCAGCCCAAAGCTGTAACATTCCATGAGTAGCATATGGTCAGCAGCCCGATGTGGGTCCCAGCATTGTGCTCATGTAATTGACAGGCACACAGTCCACGTGGAGTAGGGGCAGTCCTGTGGGCTGGACATGTCAGTTCTGGCAGCACGGTGACGGTGACACTTCTGGGAAAGGCACATGGATCATCGTATGCTCCCTTTAGAAGGGGCTGAGCAGGGGCTGAGCTGTAGAAAAGAATTAGGAAAATAAGCCAGACATAACCCTCAGCCCCTCCACATTTCATCAGTTTGGTTATCCGTGTCTCTGTCCTGCTTGGTCCATCTTTACATGCATGTATAGCACGTGTGTGTGTGTGTGTGTGTGTGTGTGTGTGTGTGTGTGTGTGTGTGTGTGTTTGCTTGCGTTTGCAAGTTGCTTTGTTAGAGTCTAAACTTTTCACTTAGGACTATAGACCCAAACCACTTTCCTAGCTGTTTACAGATAATTGTAAAATACAGTAAGACACAAAAGGCAACCCTGATAAAATGGAAAAAATGAAGCCTGCAGATACTTGATTTTCTTTTGGGCCCAGGGTGGGATGTGTGGCATTCTTGCATTTTAAAGAACAAGTACCCAGTTCTGACTCAGCGTGGGAGACATTTGCTATGCACTCTGTCTGATGACATAGTTAAAGATGGATGGCAGTGATGTCAGTTTCAGGACAGCTGACTCATGGTGAACCCATGGTCTGGCTGCTGGGCGTGTGGATCTAGTCAGCCCTCAACATCAGTTTCTTATCTGTTGATTTGGTCAACTGCGCGGGGCGGGGTCATGAAGGGTGGTGAGGTAGGGGTTTGAGGTGGTGAGGGTGAAGAATCTGCTAAAAATGGACAGTTTTTCTTTTCTTGTGATTACTTCCGAAGGGGCATAGCATGGCAATTGTTTACCTAGCATTTGCTCTGTGTCTGTATCATGATTGCTTGGAAATGACTATAGCCTGGAATGATATGCGTGCTGTTTTATAGAAGGGGTTTGTGCACCCACAGCCGTGCTGTCTGCTGGGATCCTGGCAGCAATCCTGGATATCAAAGAAGGCTGCACCTTCTTTACCTGTGGCTTCCCCTGTGGGTTTCAAACGTATGCGTGGCTTCTATGCAGTAGTGGAGAAGCCATTGATGGCCCTGAGAGCAGGACCCCTGTTGTGTCTGCCTTGCACTGTAGTCACTGGGCACAGCCCTGCGCCTGACACATTGTTGCCTGATGGCTGGCATTGTATGTGTCCCTACCAGGTGTATCCCTACCAGGTGCTCATGGCCTTTGCATCTTTTCAGGAGTCGAGTCCAGGTCTTTGGTTCGAGGTGTTGGTGGCCGAAGTATCAGCATGAAGGCACCTCCTGCTTCCCGGTCCAGGCATGGGCCCTTCAAGACCATGCCCCTGAGATGGTCCTTTGGACACAGGGAGAAACGGCCTGGAGCATCTGTTGAGTTGGTGGAATACCTAGAGTCCCGAAGAAGGCCCCGGTCCACCAGCCAGTCCATTGTGCCGCTGTTGACACGTGCTGCTGGCGGGGATGAGACGGCAGCTACACCGAGGTTGGACGTCATCCTTCCTGCTAGAAGTGAAGTCAGTGGTCGAGCCATTGGCCAAGGAACAACTGGAGTGCCCCTTTCCTCGAGCCACCTCAACCACCGTCCAGCCCTGGGGTCGTCAGATGATGACGGTCTGAGCACTGCCAGGACACGAACAGGAAATGCGAGCCAGGATATCAGGCTCCCGAAAAAGTTTGACCTGCCCCTCACTGTGATGCCCTCGGTGGGGGATGAAAAACCAGCTCGCCCCGAGGGCCAGAAGCTGACAACCTGGAAAGGAAGTGGCCAGGTGGGGAGCCAAAGTAGCCCGCCTTCCCCCTCCATTGGGTTGTTCAGAAACTTTAAGGACAATGGCCCAGGTACCTTACCCAAGATGAAGGCTAAGGCTGCTGTGGGGGAAAGGGCCGCCATCAGAGACAGGGGCCAGGGGACGTTCACTCTTCTGAAGTCTGTGTTTTGGAAGAAAGAGCACAAGAGGGCTGTGAAGACTGAGCACTCACCACCAGTACCCCCAGCCTCCCTGGTGAGTGGCGGGCTGAGCCTTGCCATGAAGGAGCAGGCTCGAGGTTCATCCCCTGCCCTCAGGTTTCAGGAGAGCCCAGCCAGGGGCCTGGGCAACCACACGGAGAGGGACACCAGGTCTGCACCCAGCTCTCTCCACCTCCCCCGCAAAGCCAGCAGGCCCCCTAGAGCCAGTACAGCTGGCACCTCCCAAAAGACCATTCCTGGGGAGCAGACTTCCTGCGGCACCCTGCAGAGGGTGAAATACCACACCCTCTCCTTAGGGCGAAAGAAATCCTTGCCGGAGTCCAGCTTCTGATAGAGCGTTTCAGTGCTGTGTGAAGCTGGCGTCCCTGGGGCCGTGCACTGAGAGTCTGCAGGAAGATTGTGTCCAGAGTGGATTTTCTAGAATCCAGTTGACTTGTAACTTCCAAAAGAAAAGCAAGGAAAAAAAAATTGGTGTCTGTAACTCGTGTTATGTCCCAGTGACCCAGTGTCAAATGTTTTGGTTCCCGTTGTTGGGTTTTGATACGGTCTAGTCAATAGACGATGCTACTGAGCCCAAATGACCACTATAAGGCTGAAATTAGCATTTGGTGTTTATGACATAAGTCCGGGCCTGCATAGGCTCTGTGGTGTCATGTCAAATACTCTCACCAGCTTGCTTGCTCCTAACTTACATGTCCTTCCTTCCTTTTTTCCTTCCTTTCTCCTTCTCTCCCTCCCTCCTTCCCTCTTTCCCACCTTCTCTCCCTTTCTTCCCTTCCTTTCTTTACTTTTATTATTATTATTATTATTTTTTAATAAAGGGCTTGTAAGGAAAATTTTCTTTTCGTGCTTATCTTGGATAAGTGTCAAAGATGCCAAGAAATGAAAAGAATAAGAAATAAAAGAATCAGCAGCGGTGGTGAGAGATGGGAGGGAAATGATTGATATTTTAGGAGAATATTTAATATATAGCAAGATAATTGTATTACAGCTTTTCAAGGTATTTTACAAAGATAACTATTTTGATACCAGAATAAAAGTTTTTTTTTAATGTAAGTATGGGATCTATGCACAATTTTAATAAAATTGTGTCTGTAAAAACTGTAGGTGGAGAAGTGGCTCACTTCATTCCTGTTGCATAGTCACAGCTTGTTACCAACAGAAAGCAATTGCCTGTGTTCTTTCTGAAATTAAAAAAAAAGCTCTTAATTAAAATGATTTTGCCTCCATCCATTCTTTTCTTTCCTTCATTTAAAAATATTTTAGTTTGTATATAGTTTTGAGATGATCTCACTCTTAGCCCATTCTGGTCTTGTCCTCTTGTCAGTCCTCCTGTCTCAGCCTTCTGAAATGGGCATGAGCCACCACGTCTAGCATTTGACTGCTGTTTCTAAAGGAGCTTCAGGCTTCTCTCTCTCTCTCTCTCTTTCTCTCTTTCTCTCTCTCTCTCCCTCTCCTTCTGGAGGCCATTGGCTTGACGGACCCTGTACCCTGTTGTTTTTGTGCATTGTCTGTGCTTCAGGACCTGTTCTAGGAATACCTTACACAGGGACCTTGCAAAGCCTAGACCCAGGACCCGGGCCAACAGGGCCTCATTGGCAGCCTCTCAGGTAAACATTCTCTGGAGGTGCTTGCTTTCTTAAGGGATATTTCTCCAAGACTCCTGGCCACAGGAATGCAGTCTCCCCCAGACCACTGTGTGGGTTGTTGCATGTCTCTGCAGCTTTTTTTTTTTTTATCAGAAAGAATGGGATCCCTTCTTTTCCCCAGTGAGAAAGACAGTTTACCTTTCATCTAAGCAGCAGTTGCAAGATAGCGCTAACATAATCAAAAAGCTGGAAGACCCAGGGACATGACCCCCTAGGGCTACAAGCTCCCTAGCAGGTCCGTGTGTTTACATTATAATAGCAGCCCCTGTTTCTTCAAGCCTTAAATTGTCCTGTGCAGGCAGTGTGTGTATAACGGAAGTTTTGGTTTCTTTAAAAACTCAGTTATATTATGTAAATATGTTTTTGTTTTATTTCCAAGCATGGGATTTCAGTTTGGGCTTTAGTTTTAGTTTGATAGTTGCCCCCTGCAGGGTGTGGTCTTTGCCAGTGGGTAACAGCCTGACCCCTGCAGCATGGAGAGGGTTGTGGTCTAGGACTCTGAGGGATATAAATATGGGAGCCCAGAGAGAAACGTTTCAGTGCAGCGGCTCAGAGGAGACTGCTGGCTGCGTTTGCTGTTGACGGAGATTGATTGGTAGAGCCCCCAAAGAACCCATCGACCCTACGTAACCAGGAGAAGTAAAGGGTTCTGAGACCCCTCTCCCCACTCCTTCCCTCTCTTAAGGTTAAAGGGTTGGTGGGAGGGAGGTGGATGGTTAAATACTCCCAAACAAAATAGAGTTTAAGATCGAGCCCACCATGTGGCTGATGGTTTACTCTCGGTGACAGGAGTTGAGAAGTCTTCGTACTGGCCTGGTTAATTCTCCTGTTGGCCCCAGAGCAATTGATTCCTACACCAAGCTCAGTCTCCCTCTTTGTTCTCTAAAATCTTATAACTCAGGCCTGCACCCGAGCCTCTCTTTCCTAACGGTCTAAACTCTGGATCATGAGAGGGTCCCAGTTGTCAGCACTGTTCTCTGATGTACCACATATTGGGGAATCTACCCTAGAACCATAAATGACTTCGAGTTTAGAAAGAGGCAGTGTGGGTATCTTTTCATAAGACTTAAGGTTCCTCTCTAATCCCTTTCCTGGGGCAGCTGGATGCAGCTGGTAGGAAGGTTTATAAGAACACAGTGTGGGAAATGGCTGATTTAAGTTCCTACCCAGATTGGAGTGGTAAAACCATGTTCCAGCCTTGGCTATTGCCTATAGATGTGAAGAGACAGTGTGACCAAGACAACTTAGAAAAGGAAGTGTTTAGTTGGGGGCTTGTTTACAGGATCAGAGGGAGAGCCCATGTCCATGGCAGGAAGCATAGGGCCAGAGAAGGAGCTAAGAGCTCACACCTGATCCCACAAATAGAAGGCAGAGAGAGAAGGGTATAATGCTGGGACTGTCCTGGGCTTTCGAAACCTCAAAGCCTTCCCTTAATGGCACACCTCCTCCAATGAGGCCATGCCTCCTAATCCTTCCTAAATAGTGCACCGACTGGGAGCCAAGCATTCAAATATATGAGCCTAAGAGGGCCATTCAAACACCACCACAGCTGCGCATCCGACTGAGGCTGTAGACATGAGGCTTTGCTGGAGGGGGAGGAGGCAGGGCAGATCACCTGAGAACCTTTGTTCCAATCATCACACTCCTATGGGGACTTGTAAAGCAAGGTCAGGGAAAGGTTGGGAACTCTTGGGCCAACAGCCTAGGCAGAGGTGGAGCTAGCTCCGTGGGAAGGGAGGCCCTCCCTTCCCATGGGAACCCTGGTACTCTGCCTGGCTGTAGCCTGCTCTCTGAGGCAGGGTCACCCGTCTGCTGCACACACCCTTCTTTGAGCAATGCACCTGGCAACCTCAGACCCCCACTAACAAAGCCACATGTTCACCCCTCTCTGCACAAGTTTCTCCTGCTTCAGCAGCAATCAAACTTACACAGTCTCAGTTCAGAGACATCCCTGATGTATCAGGAAGAATGGAAAGGCTGATCCAGCTTGAGCTGGTCTGCAGAATGTGTGCAACCAAGGCAAAACTGTCCGCAAGGAAACATAGAATGGTATAATCTACCAATCAAAACAAAGAACCACCTTTACTGGGCCTCTTAGCAACCAAACTTCTCCTCTTGAACCCCAGAAAAGGAACCGTCAAGCCGTAACCAGGGCCCTGAGTACCCTGCTGTGTCCCACCGTCAGTCTTGATCGTGCAGCCCTGTCTTTATGGTGCCATAGCTTCACTTTGATTTAAGTTACTTGCTACCTTCATGAATAAGTGTAAGCTCTTATTTCAGTTTTTGAATACGAAGCCAAGAGCCTGGAAACAGCCGTGGGTGCCATAATTGCTTCTGGCCTTTACTGTTTATTAGAATGGACAGCAATTCACTTGTTAGAAGAAGAGCTTACACTGGGGGCAGGGGCTCTGTGTATCCTCCTCAGCAAGAAGACAGCATCTAAAAACCCCTGTCACTGGGATTGCTACTCAATTTAAGTCTTTGATAAATTCTCTGAATCTCATTTTTGCACCATAATGGGGAACTGAGCGCAGACGTGACAGGAATTAAGGGCACGAGGCAGGTTGTTTTCTGTGCTTGTGGCCTTGACTTTTGATTCTTCCAGAGATGCAATTTTGCTTTGATTCACTTTAATCCTTCGGTGGGATTGCTTGGCCTGAACTTACCACAATTGACTGTAAACATCTGGGGCTCCACTAGATAGTATGAACTGCTTCAGGCTCGGCGGTGTAATAGGACGTGACGCACTCACGTGGCCGCCTTTAATCAGCCTGTAGGAGTTAAAGACAATGTACTGGGTGTAACCGAGGTAATTTTAAACCTCAAGTATTAATAGTGTAAATATATGGGTCACTTGACGCTGGGCCAGAGGAAGCCAGCGTGGCATTCTGCCACATGTTGAGAACAACGACCTCTCAGGATGCTGAAATAGCCTCAAGAGAGACCTGATTTCCACCGGGGCTGCTTAGCTGACAAAGCCTCCTAGGGCCCTGAATCCCTGTAAGTGTCCGCCTAGGAAAACAGCCACAGTTTCTTTTTTCTCCTTAGTTAATTTATTTATTCATTTTACATACCATTCACAGCCCCTTCCCTCTTCTCCCGGCTCCACCCTCTCCTAGTCCGCTCTCCCCTCTCCTCTCCTCAGAAAGGGGAGCCCCATGCCCCTGCCAACGCACCCTGGCACATCCAGTCCCATCAGGACTGAGGGCCTCCTCTTCCACTGAGGTCAGACAAGGCAGCCAAGCTAGGAGGCAACTGAGTCCATGTCAGAGGCAGCCCCCGCTCCAGTTGCTAGGGTTCACCATGAACACCAAGCTGCCCATCAGGTTCAGTCCATGCCTGCTCTTTGCTTGGTGCTTCAGTCTCTGTGAGCCCCCATGGGCCTAGGTGAGTTGACTCTGTTGGTCTTCTTGTGGGATTCCTGTCCTCTCCCGGTTCCTCTATCCTTCCCCCAAGCTTCCCTCAAGATTCCCTGAGCTCTGTCTTAATGTTTGGCCGTGGTCTCAGCATCTGGATCTGCTGCTGGGTGGAGTGTCTCAGAAGACAGTTATGCTGTTTCTGCTGGCAAGCATAGCAGAGCATCACCAACAGTGTCCGGAGTTGGTTCTGTCCCATAGGGTAGGTCTCAAGTTGGGCCAGTCATTGCTTGGCCGTTCCCTCAATCTTTGCTCCATCTTGATCTCTATAAATCTTGTAGGCAGGGTAAATTTAGGGTCGAAGGTTTTGTGAGTGGGTTGGTGTCCCCCTCATTCCACTAGAATTCCTGCCTCGGTATTGGAGGTGGCACCTTCAGTCTCCATAGCCCCCACTGCTATGAGTCTCAGCTAGAGTCAGGAGCCCACCACAACTCAGGTCTCTCTACCTGCCTCAGTTTTCCTTCCCTCTCAGCCCTCTCACCTCTCTTTATAGATGGTATGATAGAATACATAAGTGATTCCCCCCCCCATTCTACCAGAGAACTCCTACAGCTGATAAACACCTTCAACAAAGTGGCTAGATACAAAATTAACAACAACAACAACAACAAAAAATCAGTAGACTCCTGCATACAGATGATAAACGGGCTGAGAAAGTAGTAAGGGAAACAATACCCTTCACAATAGCCACAGGTAATAGAAAAGATCTTGATGTAACACTGGCCACAGTTTCTTATGGAAATGGCTGGGAGAGCTGAGGCAGCAGATGTGGGTGAGTATGACAGTTCCTGCCAGCCTGTCTATTTATGTATTGATTGACTAATTGGTTTTGAAACTTGCTTTGAACACTAGGCTGGTCTAGAACCCAAGGAGGTCGGCCCTGCCAAGTGCTGCCATTAGTGAGCAAAAGGTGAGTGCCACCATGCCTAGCCTACATTTCACTGTGTAGCTGAAGATGATTTACAACTCCTGGTCCATCAGCCTCCATCCCCCATGGGCTGGAGTTACAAACATGTACCACCACTCCCGCCATCATCCTGGCCTATAAAAGAATCAGAAAAAAAAAAAAAAAGTTAGGCCTCCTAAATGCCAAGCAAGTTTCTATTTTTCCATCTCTGGAAATATTTGGGGATTTGAAGTCTTTCCCAGTAGAAAAG